GGGTGGCTCCTCCCGAGTCTGGGAAAGCTCAGTTGAGGCCAAGAGTCCTCGAAACCAAGTCCCAGGGCCAGACTCCTCACTTCCTGGTGTCGCGCCTTTCAACCCAGGAGTAGGAAGTTTTCTATTGCTACCCTGAGCTGTGGTCAGCCAATAGTTGCTGGTAAGGTCAGCACGCTTTGATCGGTAATAATGATAATGGCAGTTTACATTTATAGAGCGCTTATTATGGGTTAGGCACGACGTAAAGCGCCTTTATGTGTATTATCTTAGTCTTTTCAAGAGCCTTTTAAGGTAAGTACATTTGTTTTTTGTGATAAGGAAACTAGGCTGTAGAAAGGTGAAAGTGACACTCCCCCAAAAATGACACAAAGAGAGACAGGTCAAGAGTCAAACCGAGGCCATCAAAAGCCAGACCCGACGCCCTCCCACCTCCACTCCAGCCTTAGCTCCTTAACGGTGTTAACTTTATCCGCCACGCGTCCGCCTTTGTGACGCCCTTCTGGACTCACACAGTGTACGGCATCATTCCTTCCTTTAAACCTCCATTTCACCCTTTGTGGACGTCTCTCCTACCAGGCAGCTTCCTCCAAGCAGGGGCTCTATATTTAAACTGGCCTAGGCTGGGAATTCAAGCTGCACCACTTGCTAGCTCAGTGATTTTGAGCAAATTTCGCTCTATCTTTATGCCTTAGTTCCTGCAACAGAAGTTACTTTGGCAAGCACAGCTGTGTCTGCACAAGGCTAGGCACTAGGTTATTGTAGTGAATAAAACACTCAAGGACTTTGAATTTTTGGAGTGTATAATTTAGTAGGGAGAATAGACAGTATATGTTAAGGAATAAAAGTAATTTCAATAATAAATACTATGAAGAGAGGGTAAGGGCAAATCATTTACAGTATGGAATTTAAGCTGAGGCAGCCATGTGATCACAAATGAAGCAACTTTCATTCAAAAATATTTGAATACCTAGTCTGCGCTAGGCATTGTTCTAAGGTGCTGGGGTTTTTTTGTTGTTCTTTTTTTTTTTTTTCAGTTGTGAACAAAACAGTCTAGATTCATGTTCTCATGAAACAAGACACTTTGGTGTTTGAGTACGGGCAAAGGAAAGAAACAATAAACAGGGTGATGTAAGAATACAAGACCCATTAGGGGTGAGTTTTGATTGGTCAAGAAGTCTTCTCAGAGGTGGTGACATTTCACCTGGTATCTGAGCTTACAGAGTCAACCATGTTGGGATCTTGGGGAAGAGTGTTTCTGGCAGAGGCAGTAATTAGTACTAAGGCCATAGGCAGGAATGAGCTTAGTGTATTCAAAAAATAGAAGGAAGCCAATTTTGCTGAATATGGTAAGGAATATAATAGGTGAAGGCACATAGAAACTTTGTAAGCTAGCACTGAGTTGAGATTTTCTTTAAGAGGAAGAACCATTCAAGGCTTTTAAGTAAGTGAATGACATAACTGGACATGTTTTTTAAAAACTAATTGGGTGGGTAGGGGGGCTGGGATGAGCAATAGAGAATGAAGATAGTAAGATATTAAAAGTGGAGCGGGGAGACCAGTTAAGAGAGAAGGTCCTCGCTGATGATAGATGATGTGACTTGACTCAGAAACATAGTAATGGGAGATGTACATGGGTTTAGAGGCAAAGATTTGGATAAGGTGTGCAGTAAAGGAATCAAAGAACCCACCTAGAGTTTTGTCTTGAACAATGAGGTGATGTGGTTACTGTGATGAGCAAAACTGGAGGGAAAGA